TTCCAGTGAACAACGTGGCCGTTATAGTACCTCATCCTATGAACTTCGGCGAAGTCAGCGAGCACCAGCTTTGGAGCCACGTCAATGTCAATGTTGCATCTCCCTTGGCAATGACGAGAATGATCCTGCCAGGGATGTTGGAGCGCCACAAAGGAGCCATCGTCAACATTGCGTCTATTTACGGCCGCTATCCCGTGCCGATGGTGCAGGTTTATTCCGCCACAAAGGTAAGCACAGGCTGGGAACGATGATGGAAATACTCTTGCATGTTGACGGGAAAAAACACTATAACACTAAAATGCTTATTTCTTATTGCACGTTTTTTCCTTATTTTTACCATCGATTAAGATTAATTTATATAACAACATTTTGTGTATGTCAAGGAATAATTTTAATATTGCATAGTGTTAGGGATAATGCTGATTATTTGAATTCTGAAAATACTCGTCCACGCTGTCCCTACTTATGCATTATTTTCTTTTTAGACTAATGTATCTCACTTATTTACGTAGTACCATCGCCATTACTGTTACTGCGGTTGTTGATATTGTTATTGTCGATGTTACAATTTTTGTCATTATCGACATTTATATTACGTTGATTAGTAGTAATATAGCTATCATTACTGTCATGATCACCATTTTCATCGTCTTCGTTATCATCATCACCATCATTATCAATATCATTATCACCATTCTTGTTTTGGTTAGCATCATCGTAATTAGTCTAATTCCTCTAATTATTTCCAATCCTATCCTTATTCTTGTCCTCACCAGCACCATCGTTATTAATTCATATACAAGGTATTTATCGAGACGGCGATAATCATTACGATAATAACATAATTCTAAAGATTAAACAAAGTTCTATAGTTAAGCATCTGATGTTAATTTTGACGGGCTTTTTTGTATATGAAAACATAAATTAAAAAGTAAATAAAATTCTATATATGAAAATTCAAATTTGATCCTGACAGATTTTTTAATATGAAAACATAAATCCAAAAAGTAAATAAGTTACCATATGAAAACATTCGATTTTAATTCTGACAGGCTTTTACACGTGCAAACATATACATAAAGTGGTAATAACATTTTAGTAATTACGCATTTCCACAGGCATTTGTAGACTTCTTTTCCGAAGCTTTAGGATCGGAATACGAAAATTCTGGCGTGACCGTTCAGACCGTTACACCCGCCTATGTGTCGACCAGCATGACCAGCTTCTCTGAAAAGGTCCACAAACCAAGTAAGATTTGTAATTATACGTATTCTTGTATTATTTTTATATCGGTTTTATTTTTTGAAAATATTTGACAGTGAGAGTTTTTCATCTTTATGTATTTCTGTTATTTGCATTGTGTTTTCTTTCATATTTTTTCTTCTATTATTTTGTCTATTTTCTTTTTTTCTATCATATGATAATAATATTCCACCTAATATATCTTTTCTATTTTTTCTATATGTTTTCTCTTCCTGTGATACTTTATAACCCCCTTATTTTGTCTGTTTCCCGTTCCCCTTTTCTTTCGCTAGGATTCTTCGTGCCAACAGCCTCCAACTTTGCCGCCCATGCTGTGGATACCTTGGGATACACCTCTTACACGACAGGCTATTGGACCCATGGCTTACAGGTGGGCACTTTTGCTAGAGGGTTGTCTTGAATAGGTGGATGGACAGGGGGTGGATAGATAAGCCAGTAGATTGATAGGGGAAAGGAATGAATAGATAAATTTGGGGAGATGTCTGAAGTGATAGATAGACGAATGAGTGTCTAAGTAGACAGATAGACAGAAGGGATGTGTGAATAGATAGATAGAGGGAATGTCTGAATAGATAGAAAGGCGGAAGAATGCATGTCTAGATAAACTGACTAGGAAGTGTTTGGATATGTAAGATGAATGCCTAAATCAGTGGTTTTTAACCTTTTTACTATCACGTCTCCTGTAGGGATTTGTCCTTCCATCCACTCACTCCTATGAACAAAATTTCCTTCCAGATTTTAAAGAAAATTAAAAATAAGTTCTTAGCCTTTTTATTAAGTAACGATTAGTCACTTTGTTAGCAGACCTGATTATTTGTCCATGTTCTCGGTAAAAGAATAACAAATATACATAGAGAAATTCCTGCTTTTTCTGAAGGGCTTATGACCCCCTTGGAGATTACTGGCGCACCCTCAGGTCAAGAACCTCTGGTCTAAGAGGAGAGATGTCTAAGTACACAAAATAAACAGGAAGAAAGAGAGTGTTAACCTAAACAAGATTTTGCATAGTATCAATCCGTCCGTTAAAATCGAGAGAGCGGAAAGCATATCGACTTGGGGACCATTTATAGCAACAAACGAATGTATACTGATAACAAACATAGACAGAATGTTTGAAAAGATAATTGTAAATAATAATTATCTGAATGATTAACCCAATTGTGTCTATTGTTTTCCGCTTTTCAGGCTTGGGTGATGGATACTTTCTTTCCACGATGGGTCTGGATGAAGTTCTTGAAGAAGAATTGCGAGGATTTACTGAAAGATTTAAAGAAGACGAAAGAAGAATGAATGCCTGGTGGGAGCTCAGCAGAAGTGGATGGCGGGAAAATAATATTTGGTGGGAAATGTGTAGCAGAACTCAATTGAGTTGTGGAGGGATGTGAAGGGAGCTATATTTGTGATAGACACACACACCCACACACGCTTATATGTGTGCGTGTGTGTATATACACATATATATACATATACATCCATATACACACACACACACACGCACAAAACACATACGCACACACACAACACACCACACACACACACACACACACACACACACACACACACACACACACACACACACACACACACACACACACACACACACACACACAACACACACACACACACAACACAACACACACACACGCACACAACACACACACACACACACACACACACACACACACACACACACACACACACACACACACACACACACACACACACACACACACACATATACACATATATACATACATACACATTCATATATACATACAAACATATATTATACATACATACATGCATGAATATGCGTAAATGTATACATGTATATAGATATATGGATAGATAGATAGATATAGAAATACACACACACACACACACACACACACACACACACACACACACACACACACACACACACACACACATATATATATATATGTGTGTGTGTGTGTGTGTGTGTGTGTGTGTGTGTGTGTGTGTGTGTGTGCATTATGTATATATATATATATATATATATATATATAATATATTATATATATATATATATATATATATTTACATTATATATATTTGTATATATACATTAATACACACACACACACATACATATGTGTGTGTGTGTGTATGTGTGTATAAATGCGTGTGTCTGAGAGAGAGAGAGAGAGAGAGAGAGAGAGAGAGAGAGAGAGAGAGAGAGAGAGAGAGAGAGAGAGAGAGAGAGAGAGAGAGAGAGAGAGAGAGAGAGAGAGAGAGAGAGAGAGAGACGTATATGGCGTCAGAATGAAATAAGAGTATATCCTAATGTTCTGACTAATAATTTCCTGATCTTCTTTACAACAATTTAATAGGTCTACAAAACGCAAATCAAGTAACTCCTAATAATTAAACAAGCTTACTATAATATGTCTTATTTTTTTGTAGCCAAGTAGAAGAACTTGTTATTGACGCGATCAACATCCAGCGGAAAAAACTACGATATTCGTATATATTCATATAAACTTGATGTAAATGCCCTTGTTGTATTGTGAATAAGGGAAAAATATATGAATTTATGCCAAAAAATGAGTTAATATATTGCAAGCTTCACAGAGTAGCAAACATTATTTTTTCTCTTTGTGGTTTCTTTGGCATTACACGACATATGTTTCTGTTTTAATAATGATGAAAAGATAAATAAAACACATATTGATCCGAGCCCTTGTTTCCTTTTGCAGCACATAAATTGCTTAAAGAACAAATACATTTCACGTTAGAAATGATATAAAGAGGAGACGGGTTATTCTGCACTTTATAACAATTAACTAGATATTTACATATCAGACAAACCGTTAAAATGACTGTTATCGGGCAGCTACGGCAATGCCAATTCCACTACAAACGTGTCTCGAACCTGCCCATCTCTGGCATCACGACACCACTCACCTCCTTGTTAATCGTCGATGGCTGCTGAAAATGAGATGAACTATCATCAGTGGGGCGAGTTTTGATCTAGGCCTCCGACCTCTCCCTGCTATGTGGTTTCTTATGCCTCCTTTGCCGTGTTTGAGACCTATGTGTCAAAGGTCGATGCAAAGCCCGATCTCCGACCAATCAAACCGTGCAATATGGATCTCCTGTAATAAGACAAAGCTGTACCTTGTTCTTGGGTGGTCACCACTGAACTCCTTAGCTGCTTCAAGTATTTGAAGGTGTTCCACGGTGCTACAGGGTCCCTTGGGCTGCCGAGCACTGCCAAGCGATTGGAAACGGCCTAACGAACCCCCAAGCACACTCCTCTCTGTCTTTTCATGGACACTGATACTAGAAAACCTGTATCTGAAACCACATCCTAACTCCTTTAGTGAACTGACCCCTAAGAGAAGGGATCGCTGTAAACTGCCCTCCCCTAAATGAAGGAGTTCATCTAACAAATTTGTGCTTGTCTAAGAAAAGCCTCCTAGTCTTTCTGAACCCGAGGCGCGAACGGGGCCAAACGGGACGGGAATCTAGGAACCAAGGTCTATATAAGTACCTATATAGACCTTGCTAGGAACTGCACGCGAAGATCGCGCACCGAAGGCGTCCTCGGGGACTGGTTTAAAACTACTATTTTTTTATTTGTCGAGGACGGGTTGAAAAATACCTTGTTTTTTCGGGAAGAGAGCAAGAAAAAGACCCCCTCTCTTAGAATTTTCGGGGAATTTTCCCCGAAATAAGATCCAAAAATAAACCCCTTTCCCAAAAATTCGGGAACGCGGATGAGGTACAGTGGATCCCCTGAGTAGGAGACCGGACTGCTTTCTCAGTGGGATTCATAGCCAGTCTCGCTTGCAGGGTGGAAGGGGAGTTGGGCTTGTTCCTTTAGGGTCGCTGACTGGCAAGATCTACCTCCCCAACACGCATACACACACACACATACATACATACATACACACACACGCAAGCACGTACATACACATATAAAATGTAGTGTCACATACATGTTAAATATCAGTCATGCTTTACATTCATGTTTAATATCACAGTTATGCCTTTTTCAACTCAGAGTGATTAAAATCTATCAACTTGCCTTCAGCTCTATTTGATTTTTAACTTTGAAAAGCCGTAGAATTAACGAAAATAGTACATTCATTACTTATCGGAGGATGAAAGTCTTGAAAAAATACCTAGCAACTTTCCATCACTTATCTCACTATGAGATTTGTCTCACGATAAGATAACGACAAGCTCTTTCATTGATCATAGCATCTACGGCATGACAAACTGGCCCTTGGCAGAAATAGCGATACGAACGATGCATACCGACAAACAACGCTTAATGTTACCCTAGAAACGAAACGTCATCGTGAACAAAAAGTTCTGAAGGGCTATCAACGTCATCAATGGTCGGTCAGAACAGAGGCGGACATGATTGACTTTAAAGATCTCCGGTTATTTCCAGATCTTGAGGCCGTAGTGAATGTTATTACGGTCCTTGGCATCCTGACGGCTACGAAGATCGTAGTGAGGACGGCTTGGGATGTGGTCGTTGGTCTGAGGGCGCATGTGTGGTCAAAGCTGTGTAAGAAGAACTTGGTGCGGACTTACGGGAAATGGGCAAGTATGTATTAGATGAAAGTATGGAAAGAAAACGTATAAACACACATGCTAGGGCAAACACAGGCACGTACAAACACACGCATAGATAGATCATGCATACCCTCACCCACACACTCACATTCCACATTCGCAGGTCCTTAGGAAGGCACATAAGCAGGCATGAAGACGGACATGCAGGCACACCCATACCCAAGGCTATATAAGTACACCTTGCCATACCCACACTAACACCACGCCCATATTCACAGCCACACTCATACTAACCCAAACACACGTACCAATACATACTTATAGTCATGTACTTAATTTTACATGCTGGCATTTCGTAGGCTCTATGCAATTATTTACACTAATACTTTGAAATAAAGGTAGTAGCTTACATCATGATATTATGCTTTATGAAGATTTTTTTCTCTTGTCTGAACAAAAATACAAATACAATAATGAGTGTACAAAGATGAATAGAAAAACAGCCACAGTATTAAAGGAATACCAAAGTGTGATTTTTGTATCAGACTACATCATGTGGCAAAATCGAAAAGAAACAAAGAAAATTTGATTGAAGGACAAGGAAAAAAGAACTGGGTCAAGTTTTGTACTGTCCGACATGCATATATATCATATGCCTCAAGGAGTATCCTTTTCAGTTTTATTGTCTAAAATGCAATTTAGTTGGAATGGAAACATCAACAGGTTCAAATTCTTTTCTTAAAGTAACTGTGTATTTTTTTTTACTTGGATAGATGATTAGATAAAGAGGATAAATGAGTTAATTAATATATGAATATTTTCCAGTTGTAACAGGATGTACTGATGGAATTGGAAGAGCTTATACTTTTGAACTGGCAAAGAATGGCATGAACATTATTTTAATATCTCGAACTGCAGAAAAACTACAGGATGTTGCTTCACAGATTGGTAAGTTTTGGGAATTTTAATAAGTTGATAAATATGTTATGAAAATTTTGTTATTATACTTCTTTGATATTTTGAAAAAAGTTATGATAATACAATTAGAAAAAAGTTACTTGTTTACTAATCTAGTTTTAATTAGTATTTAAATATGAAATAATTTTATCTCACTGTGTTGGGCTTACAGGCAAAAAGTTTGGAGTCAAGACAGAAAGAGTACAGGTAGACTTCAGCTTGGGAAGGGAGATTTATTCTGAAATTGAGAAGTGCATTGAAGGAAAGGAGATTGGCATCTTAGGTAATTTTTCAGGAAACTAAACTGTTAAACAAATATATATAAAAATATTAGCTGTAGTTTAAAATAAAGTTGAAATACTTTTTCAATACCTATTGATTTGCAGTCTATTGTTCTCTCTAAAACTATACATGTTAATGCTTATTTGTTTTCATTGATTAGTATATCACTAAATACTGAAATAATTAACTTCAACCAGTACTCTGAATGTAATGATCAAAATACAGAGTTAACAGGATTAAGAAGTAAGAACATTATGTATAATGTTCCATGCTGATTTTCATCTCTTCTAGTGAACAATGTGGGAGTTATAACCCCTCACCCTATGAGCTTTGGTGAGGTGAACGACCATATTCTTTGGAGTCATGTTAATGTGAATGTTGCATCTCCTCTGGCAATGACCAAGATCATCCTCCCTCAAATGCTCAAGCGCAGAAAAGGGGCCATAGTAAATTTGGCTTCCATAGCTGGGCGATGTCCTGTTCCCCTCCTCCAAATTTACTCTGCTTCAAAGGTAGAGTAGGTGGCTTGCACTTGATGGATGGTAATGACCTGTGCTATCAGGTAGCCTTACTTTTGCTCTTTACCATTTTTTGTTGTTGTCATTTCCTGTTCAGATTTCAAATTCAAGAAACTAGACTCGTTCTTAGTATAACTGAATTATATTTCCTGTAAAAGACCTCATCAAGAGGACTTTGTTTTCAGACTGGCTCTTATTCACTAATGCTATTATCAAGTCTAAAACTTATTTTAAGGGATACTTCAGCATGTACAATTTTGATTGAATTCTGAAATGTCTATTCAGTCATTAAAAAATAAGTGAATGGCTTATGATTTTATTTGCTGTAAGCTGCTAGAATTTAAATACCTTTTATTCAATGCAGATTCCTCATTTGCTTTATGCTAATTAGTAATATACTTTATTCTTCATTATTCAGGCATTTGTAGATTACTTCTCCATGGCTTTAGGAGTGGAGTATATACATTCAGGCATTACAGTTCAGACCATTACTCCAGGTTATGTATCAACCAATATGACAAGCTACTCTGAAAAGATCTACAAGCCAAGTAAGGGACACTTAATAGATTCATCCCAGAATACACTGACTTTCACATGCATACATATACAGATGATCACACATATCCACACACAAAAAAATACAAACTTAGAAATATAAATTGTAACAAGTAATCTGAACTGAAAATGGTGAAAAAGCAAATGTATGAATTTGTATCTATCTTGTCCTTACACTTTGAATGTTTGTTCACATCCACTAGGTCTTATGGTGCCAACTGCCTCAAACTTTGCTGCACATGCCCTGGACACTCTGGGGTTTACCAGTTACACCACAGGCTACTGGACTCATGGAATAATGGTAAGGATCATTACATATATAGCCCTTTTCATCATGCTGTAATTTCTATTACAACCTTAGTATTTTGATTCATCACATTGCATGTTTTAATGCTTTATGTAAATATTTCAGGCTTGGGTTATGGACAACTTTGTGCCGAGGTGGATCCTGATGAGAATGTGTAAACTGCATAATGAAGACTTATTAAGGGACATGAACAAAAATAAGAGAGAATGAATGGAAGAGAATTCAACATTGTAGGCAAAGAAATCACTTTAATACAAATGCATAGGAAAACAAAGGCAATTGATTGTGGAAACCTGATCTTTAAATGTAATGATGAAAAGAACACAAGATGTGGAATATGAAGAGATGTACATCACTTAGCTGTGAACTCTGGTGGTACAATGAAAAATTACATGCATTAGGAAAATAATGTGTGTGTAAGAATGAACCAAGATATATTTTTTGTGTGCATCCTTTTAACCTCTGCTGGTGTTCCAAACACCTACTAAGTGACTATGCAAAGAATGAATGAATATATTTGAAGTTGTTATGAGATTTGTTCTACTTGGCCCTGGTTTTCTATCATGAGGAGGAAAAGGTTGACAAACAGAGCATGGAAACCACCTTAAATGCTAATGAATTCAATATTAGTATCCACTTTGAAGATGGGCTCAGCTTATCTGTACAGGTCAATTGTAACAGTAAAATAAAATGACTTATTAAAGATTCTGTAATTAGATTAACAATAACTGCATCTTCCTTCCTTTGAAAATATAAAAATGTCATATCAGATATGCAGAAACAGTAGGTTACCATTCATATAATACTTTCTGCCTCAAAACTTAATTAATTATTTATTGATTATATTGTGTAGGCAAAAATATTATATGAGGGTTTAATTAAAAGTCTTTTAGTTTTTACTATTCATTATTGTATTATAATATTATAATATAACATCAAGAGAGGAAAGTGAAAAATGTGAGACCATAAAAATAGTTTTTATTAATTTCTTTGTAATTTGAAATAACATATCAGTTATGATAATGATATTATTGAAGAAAAAAATAAGTGGGAAAAGTTATATTTACAATTCCCAATTGGTGATTATAATGATATGCTAAAGGGAAAATATGCAAGATATATTTACAATATCCATGTACATAAACATAACATTTCAATTTTTTTTTAACCTATATTGAGATAAAATTTAACTTGAGATATCAGTCAGAACACAAATCTAAGGTACCTATTTCCTTGTTCTAAACATTTAAATCTCATATTCACGTAAGTAACAAATATTTTGTATATATATAATTACCACACAACCTAAATAATTCCACGTATAATTGTACTCATACAGATATGATCTATTAATTACTGAAAATACTGACTAGTATAACAGAATCTTTCAACTTCTTCACAGTTTCATGACAAAAAAGAAAAAGAAAATGAAAAACTGGTAAGGAAAACAAAGAAAAAAAAGGTCTTACAGCAAGTCTTTTTGCACAATAAGCCTGGACATCTTAACAAGCTGCCCCCAACCCCCTAAAAAAAATCCAAAGTCACCACACACTGGAAACCTCTCATCTTATTTACTTCCGATGTTTCCGTCTTGCCCCTTGTGGCTTCGAGTTCTCGTTTGGGATATAGACTTGGCCACCCTGGAGCTCTGGATTGCAGTTGACTGTGGACAGGGCCTCCAGATGGGCCATCACATCACTCACTTGTGACTCCAATTCAGCTATTTTCTGTGGGGGAATTCAAACACTCTCATTATCAATTTTGCCTTAAAAGCAAATGGTGCAAACTTAAGTACTTACAATACTGCATGCTACAGCCATTCAATTCCAATCTTAAAAGCAAAATGGAAGAAAATATTATTTATAATATGTAACAATTGATACCCAATATTTTATGCAAAATATAAGACACTGAATATATAATTTGAAATACATAAAAAAAACATTGGAGAAAATAATAACAGCACAAAAGTACATTCAGAAACCATTTACTTTTCAGAATATATATCATCCAAGTCAAGTTTCTTCTAAAGGCAATGTCTCTATTCTCCTTAATTTATAGAATCAGAATGATAAATCCATATTTTATCACTGGTCATATTTCTTTCAAGAAAAAGTTCAGACTATGAGTTCCACCTGTTCAAAATTTGCACTCATAAAGTGTCTTGCCACCAATTATCTACAAATACACTTTGGATATATATATTGCACAAACATATGCACATACCTACTCACACATACCCTTTTCTATACCTATCGTCTATTTACCTGATCCTTCTGTTTGACCACACTTTCCAGCTTCACGACCTTGGACACCCATTCTTGTTTGCCTTGACGCATGGACAGGTTCAGCTCCTGCTCTGTCTCCAGATCTTTGGACACCTGGAAAACAGATGTCAATAATATGTGGATGAATCCCACTTCGCTTTGATGTGAAATCCGAGTACGACTGAATGCCATCTAGATTCATACACTTTTTAAACTTTAATTCATAGTAAACAATTTGGATAATATTTAGCAAAATACTGCACCATGAACTCAATCAATAACGACATCTCTTAAAGCCTTACCTTTGCCAATTTACTATTCAGCTGGTTGATCTTCTTATCAAGTGTAACTTTCTCACGTGTAACAAAAGCCAACTCTTGTTTGATTTCCTGCATTTCTTCACTGAGTTTCTTTACAGCTTCTTTTGATTCTTCTGCCTGTTAGATATATATCAATCATTCTTAAAATATACTGTAAAGTGTAAAATATGCATTTGAAGAAAAAATATGTAATCTCAACAAATAGTAATGTAAAAAGATTCCTAAATACAAGCACTTTAAGTGAAAGAATTAAATGTATGACAGACACAAAACCAAGAAAGACAATAACTCATACTGCTATTTCTCACTATGGCTTGTTACTTTCTTGCAAATAGGCTTTATTGGAAAATCTGACCTTAAGCAACTCCAAATGCTTACTGAAAAGAACTTATTACCTCATGCCACGCCTCTGCTTGTGCTTCTGTTATCTTGTTTTCAAAATATTGTCTTTGTGACTCCAGCTGCGAGGAGAGGAGGTGTGTGTATTCAAGCTGCAGTGCCGTCAACTTTTCTTCCCCTTGAACTAACTCCTCCTTTGTATCAGACACAGGTGATGTCCGCTCATATGATACAACCTACAGAATGTTGCATTATAAGCATGGATAATAGGTGAAACAGTTCTTCAAAAAAATTGCCTTTACTTCTGAATTCAAGATGTGTAAATTTTAAAAAGTTTAGTATAAAAGTCATGAAAACAGGGGAAAATATTTATTTCAATGCTAAAAAAAAAGGAGGTTATTTGGCTAAAGAATGGAAATACCATTATTTTAGAAGCTTTTTTTATTTCTGAATAATCAAGCTTTCAAGTGATCAAACACTGACGATGAGTAAGTCTTCCCTTACCTTGCCATCACCTTCACTTTGTAATAAGCGATGCACATAGTTATCTCTTACATAGTCCCACACTCTGTTGTTGCCCACTTGCAGCGAAAAGAGGTGATTGGTCTCCATGAAGTGTCTGCCAATAAGATTATCATAATATTTCACAAGGCATTTCAATTAGTATTCAAAACTACAGCTGATATACAAAGTGTACCATAAATCAAAACAAAATTCCTTTACAAGTGGTCATTTTTATGGAAATGCTGCTAAATACCAAACAGGTTATACATTGTTAATAGGGTATTCACTGGTGTGGCAATTTCAAAAGTTAAAGAAAATCATTAAATCTGGCATTCTTTGCCAGCTTGCACATAATTGCAACTTTACCAACTCTGATATAACCAATGCCCTATACATCTACTTCAACTAACTTACTACTGCTTAACCCATCAGCGACGGGTAAAAATTTTGTCAAGTTTACGTATGCGCCGGCTTGTTGGCGCACACTGGCAGTTTCCCCTGTCTGCGCCCGGCTCGATCGGTAGTTTGCGAGTGACATATAGCACCTAAAAGTTTTTATTTTTCTAAAATTTATGAAAATATTAAAATTTTGAAGGTTTACCTTCACTTTAGGTGCCATTGCCTAAAAGCTTTACCATATAAATGAAGCCCCTACTAGTGGAGGAAAACAACCTCCGTCCGACGAGCCAGTAGCGCGGGAATGGGCATGGCATGATGCCCCCGGCGTTTGGTCCACAACAGCCATGGCATGTACGTACGTGACACCCGGCGCCAATGGGTTAAACACTATATTACCTTGGATTACTGATATTTACCCTAATAATCAGTGCCATAGTGCACATTTTATTCTTTTATCTTCTCCTGTTCCCAAGATTGAGAGATTAGTGTAGTTCCATATACAATAATCATGAGAGTACTAATACAGACCTGTGAGCATGTCCTCCTACATAACGCCCACATCCAACATGTCCACATATAAGGCAGATCCACAAGGAATCAGCTGACCCGCATAACAAGCATCGTTGGTCTGGCGTTTCCTCTGGCGTCTGACAGTACCGGCAAACTGGACAGCTGGAGGCAAAATAGGCTAATCAGCAAGTGGTAATTATTCATACTGCATATTAGTTATTTTCTAGGCACAACAGCTATTAACTATCAGTCTTTCAAACATTCCTCAATATAGCTTACAAGGTTTCCTATTCTTACTCTCAATCTCAAGTATCTCTATAAATATTCATTCAAATATATATATATATATATGCACATACAATAAATCTGTATATCTTACACTAATCATACAGTTCATGCGATAAATGCTGGTCAACCACCAAAGTTTCCCCCATTCAAATGCTAAACTACATACAAAAGTGAATAGTAGAACACTGCAGCATAACACCATTAATGCATGCTGGGTCACCAACATCACATTATCCTTGAGACTATGTAACAGTTAAAAACACGACCAATGCGTGTGAAAAGTAGAGCAAGGCATCATTCTTTGTTGAGCAATGGGTTCCTCTTTATGGATCTGTGCACATACATGCAGTATATAGTAGTGCTAGTGATACCTGTTCATTAAATTAATGTTTTCACAAGAACAAATATGGCTCTTTAGTTTCCAATTACTGCATGCTGTGCTCTGTCAGTGTCAGGCTTCAAATTCTACTGTGCTATACCAAGAAACATGTACCACTGCTAATAAGGTACACAACTGAACCATACTATCTCTCAGTGACCTTAAATCACCAAATGTACCTATTTATTACCTTACCCAAGGTCAGGTAACTTTTCCAACAAGAGGAGGAGGATTTCTTATTTCATGATTATACATAAGATTCCTCTGACACAACTGCTTTTCATTACCTACTACGACATGGTCTGTGTTTTAGCTCATAGTGAATAAAGTGATATGTGTGCATTTGGTAAGGTCTTTCATGTATTTTGTACATGTGTTATGAGAACTGACCAAAGATCTTCAGTGTGTTTGGGAAGTAAATAAATGACAATACTTGAAAATTTTAACATTGTCATTATAATGGGAAAATTTAGATTCCTAGCACTCATGAGATTCATTTTATATTGAAAAGAGTGTAATTTTAGAAATTCTACGTTTTCATTTTCTATCAGTTCACATCAATCTACAATATCTAAGTACACATTAGACCATTTTGCCTAATATTCATCATCACACATCACCAACACTTAAAACTTAAATTATATCTACATGGGAGATTACCCATAGAGGTTGTATCATCAAAATTTTAAACATATGCAAAACCCAAATAAAAATTTCAAGACAGAAGCCCAACCAGCAAATCCACACCACAGCCATGCAGAACAATTGCAAAATGAAACTGTAAGTGATCAGTGAATACAGGCTAAACATAAAATACTCCTGGCCTTGTGAGGGCTTGCTGTAAATACTTGATGCCTCTGTCATCCAACTACCTTCTTTCCCCAACAGTTGGAAGAACAAAAAGGAAAAAAAGAAAAAAAAAAAAAAAAAAAAAATTGGAGAAATGTTGTCAAGGTGTTAATCAAGATGATACAAGCACCAGTACACTAACATGTACAGAACAAACTACTGACAAAACTGCTGATGGAAATTCCACATTACAGAATGGAACATCTAGGAAGCTGACATTACAATGATTAAATATGACTGATTAGAAAAGGCAAAATGAAGTCCATGGCTTAAGGAAAGACCTAGGAAAAAGGTCTTTCGACTAATTTTCTAGTACAATCATCATATATTGTATCAGCAATGATCATGAAACAAGAAACAACAAAACCGGAAGCAAAATATAAAGACACAAAACTGCAGGCGATTACATGTAACAGACAAGTATACAAATTGTATAACATTCAAACCAAAATATAAGATAAATAAAATATGACATATTTTCAACTTAAAAACAAAAAATATATAGAAAAGTACAACCATTTAAGATCAACATTATATTCTAAGATTAACAGCAAGGTTTAACAACTACATAATGAAACTGGCAAAATAGAAAATGAAAGGGGAGGAAGCAGGGAAGAAAGAAGTTACATTACATAACAAAATTTCTTAAGCACAGAGAGAGAGAGAGAGAGAGAGAGAGAGAGAGAGAGAGAGAGAGAGAGAGAGAAAG